TTATAGTACTTGTACCCATAAATTATCTGTTATATACCACAGGGCTCTCCTGTGGATTCTCTATGTTCTTTTCTTTTTGTTTTTTTTTTTTTTTTTTTGGCGAGACGGGGTTTTGCTTCTGTGCCCCAGGCTGGAGGTTGCAGTGGTTCCCGGAGTCTAGCGCACTGCAAGCTCGTCCTTCTGTCGTGCGTTTCACGCCATTCTCCGTGCGCTTGGAGCTCCGCGAGTGGCTGTTTATACAGGCACCGCCACTTTTCACGCACCGTGCTAGTTTTTTTTTTATTTTTTAGTAGAGACGAGGCGGTTCTAAGTGATAGCCGGGCATGGGTTCCCTCGTGCGCTGACCCGCCGCATGGATCGCCCGTCAATCGGCGGGGGCCCTCCCAACAGCGCTCGGACAACTTACAGGCTGGAGGCCAGGACCGCGACCGTTTTCGCAGCGCTACTCAGGGAAGGCTGAGCAGAAGGAAATCACTTAAGACCAGGAGTGGAGGTTGCAGCAGTGGCATGCAGATCATGGCCATCTGCACTCCCAGCCTGTGGTGACAGATGTGAGGAACATATCTTAAAAAAAATAAATAAGATTGTCTCGTCTGAGACAATGAAGTCCCTTTCCATGCCTATCGGGGCCTATAGAGTAAATCCCCACAAGCTAAGTTAGGTATACTCCTACAACAATGGGCACTGGGTGCAAGCACTTGGGTACAATAGCGACTTGTCTCTGCATGCATGGAAGAAATTTGGACCAAAACAAAGGGGACGGAACCCACAGTGAAAGTTTCAGAAAGTATTTCAATAATTTAAAATGCGCTCTCGCTGTGATTACGTCATTTCTTATAGGATGAAGAGAAAACATGCTCTCTGTTCCCCCCTTCTCCTTTGCATCTATCCCTCACCCCATGTCTTGTTAGTGCTCCCCCTCGGACAAACGGTTGACGGTAATTTCAGATTACACATATTGGCTCATCTGTAATAATTAAACCATGGAATTCGCCAGAAGAGGTTCACTGGAACTCATATTTCCTTAGCGAGTATTCAATTACTCACAAGGACCTCTTTGGCTTTCAGGGCAGTCGGCCATTGAAATTCCTGCTGTGTATTGGATTGGTGCAGTCTTTTTAAAATTGGTGTGTGGTAGGTGTATTGATTCTTTTGAAGATCAGAGTTTTATTGTATGTCTTGTTATTTCTATAGGAAAGAGAAAAAGCAGCCCTGTTCCCCTCATCCCTCACCCCAGTCTGTGTAGTACCCCACTTCGGAACAAACTCGGCTATCTTTGTTCCTTGGCACCTGTATTTTAAAGCCCATGGCCTTCCAGGGTAACTGGCTCTTTTCCTTTAGGAGATTCATTACTTCACAAGGACCTCTTTGCTTCGGGCAGGGCATTGAAATCCAGCTGTGGTATTGGATTGGTGGTGTTGTGGTAGGTTATTATCTTTTAAATCAGAGTTTTATTAGCTGTATAAAATTGTTGCATTATAGCATTTACAGCATACAGGT